CAATTTTCATTATCATAAATCGTACCTAATTTTGGTATATATTAAAATTATATAATTGCATTTAAGTTTATTATGCCCGTGATTCTGGTATAACTGAAATAAACTGATATCATAAAACATTTCATGCATGTAGGCTTTTCTTTTTACTCCTTTTTTCAAAAAAAAAAAAACTGCTGAGCAAACTGGAAAATTGGAAAACTGGAAAATTGCATTGTTATTAATCCATTTAAGAGAATTAATTATATGAATGTACGACTTGAAAAACCAGATTTTCGAAGCATTAACGCATTGGGAACTTTCTTTACGTTTAATAATGATAATAATGGCAAGGTTCATTTGTTAATTATTTTTAATTATTATTATAATTTATTTCGATACTTTTTGTTATTTCCTTTAAGAATTAAATAATCACTAAAAACTTAATTACAATTTATCTTACGATGCATCACAGTTATGCATCACTTGGTTTTAGTAATTATTCATCACCGAAAACCCCTTAGAATCCTTTGTTAAAGATATCATCATCATCAATCTTTTAAGATTTTAACAATAGTATCATTAAATTTCTTCTCACGAAATTTTTAAAAACAATACAATACATTAACTAAAAGTACTACAAACAATTGTTAAAATTAAGTAATAAATTCTTTACGTTCAGGTTAAAATGGTTAAAACGATTAAAAACTAAATGTAAATTGATCGTGAACAAATGATATCGCGAACTTTAAAAAGATAAGAAATCATTACTTTTTTTTTTTTCTTGTTTTTTTTTTGAATGGAAACAATTAAGTACAATTGTTTATATCATATGAAAAAGTTTGATGAAAGGCGGTCATTCAATAAAAAAATATTATTACGTAAAAGAATGAGAAAAGAGAAAATGGAAATAAACATTTAAGCAAGAATTTTATTGGAAATGATACAAATTTGTAAATAATGAAATCTTTTCATGCTATTTCAACAGGAAAATAATATAAGATAGTAAAGATTTTCTTCCGATTATGTATTATGTATTATTATTTATGATTTTGTGGTTTGCATAAGTTTTTTTTCATAAAAGGTTCAAATAATTTTACACAGCCTCAACGAATAGGATAATTTTGGTATTAATTAACCTAAAGGAATTAAAAATATTAAGTTTCCTATATTAGATATAAAATCCGTTTTTATTACCTTTATTTGTATGGTAGGTATATTTAGTATAATTAGTATAATGGTTTATGGTTATAATGGTTATAATGGTATTATCTTATTATCTTATTATCTTTTATTACCTATTTTTACCGGTATTACCAGTATTACCGTTATAAGTTCCGGGAATAATATGTTAATATGGGAGAATGTTGGTATAAATTTCTTACCAGAAATTATTAATTTTTTACCGCGTTTTTTTGTTAGTATTATTAGAATAGTATTAATAACTATAAGATCGAGAATTTAATAATATATAGATCAATAGATAAATAGATGTACAGTACAGTAGTATATTTAGTATAACTGAAAATATACTGAGATCGAGAGTAGTATGTAAGTTTATCGAATAAATATATTAAGGTATTATATAGTAATATATTTGGCATATTGATACAATTATTTAAAATGTTTAATATTACAAAATTTATTATTACAAAAATTTATTATTACATTTATTATTACATTTATTATTACATTTATTATTGTAAAATTTATACTCGGTATTATAAACATTACGGAAAAATTACGATCAATAAGATCGAGAGTTACTGACTTACTGTAAATTGTAACACTGTACAATAATATATATATTTATTCGATATAATTACTATATAATAATATATTATAATGTATTTACATATCTGTTTATGGTATTACGTTATCAAAAACCGGTATTATAAACATTTACGGAAAATTAGGAAAATTATGATCAAATAAAGATCAAGAATAGTTTGTTTCATTATGTATATCGAATTATATATTTATATTCTTATTGAATGTACACTAAATATATTAAAATTGGTATTACTGGTATTACTAAACATTACGAAATATTACGATAAATAAGATCGGGAATTTACCTGTTTTTTTGATGCATTTGATACAGTAATTAATCAGTATATCAGTAATATTGAAGTTATCGACAAATAATAATAATAATAATAATAATAACAATAATAATAATAAATAAATAATGATAATAAAAAATCACAAGGAAATTTAAGTAAATTTCCCCCCCTTTTTCTTTGAAAATTAATTTAAAACAATTTGATTTAAAAATTCAATTATACATTTTCATTTATTTACATTTAATTTTCATTGAAATAAATTAAGTGATAATATGATGATTTATCATTATTATTGTAAATCAAATATGATGATATCGATCACTTAATGCAAAATGATTTACCCATTGTTTTTCAAATTACACAAAAATTACAACAGTAACAAATAAATCAAAAAAAATCATTCAAATAATAATAATAAATAATAAATCAAATCAAAAACAAATTCATTCAAGTATTTTTTTTTATCGCGTCAAAATAAATATTTTTAAAAAAAATATTTATTTATCCCCTTTTTAAACTTTTTTTTGATCCTATCTATCTATCGGTTATTTTTATTTTTAATCGTGTTTAATCGTGTATTTTTTTTTTTTTTTTNTTTTTTTTTTTTTTTTTTTTTTTTTTTTTAATACACAAATAAATAAATACATCATTATTATAAAATTAAAATAAATAAATAAAAAAAATTTTTGACATTACTGTATTTTATTTGAAGGAGTGGTTTTATTTATATGAGGGGTAAAAGTTTATATAAATAATATGAATAACGTAAACAATATAAACATCAAAAGCTCGTTTTTTTTAGATTGTCTCACTCCACACAATCACAATTCATCACGCCTACTTGGCAAATACAATACAAACTTTTTTTTTAAGCCTCTTTTCCTGTTCTTATTAAACTTGTTTAGCATTAAACCCAAAAATCGATTACCGAGATTTTATAAAAAAAAACAAATAAATAAATAAATAATAAACAAATATTAAATATAAAAACAATATAAAATTTATATTAATTCTGGTTAGAAGGATTAGAATAAGTTTGATAGATTTGAATAAGTTCGATAGATTTAACGCGTCAAATCACATAAATGTTTAAATAATGATGATTTTATTTTTGAGATTGTTTTATGATAACAATTATTATTAAATTATATATTGTATAGGTTAATATTAAAAATATTAAAAATAGATAAAATAGATAAAATAGATAATAGATACTTCCATAATCCCATATTCCATAATTCTAATAATTCCAATAGCTTTTTTTTTTAATTTTTTGATTGATTTGACGTAATTTACTTTAAAAATACTTTAAAAATACTTTAAAAATACTTTAAAATACAATCATGTGAAATTTAATTTTTTTAACGTGATAAAAAAAAAAAATTATTCAAAACGCGTTTAAAGTGATGTTTAAACAATTCAAAAAATTTTAAATTGATAACGTAAGGAGGTGACAAATTTTATTTTTTTACCAAATATAAAAAATTTTTGATTATCCTTAAAATAAAAAATCATCAAATGAATGAATACTTTCTTGAATAAGAGAACAATGTGATTTTTTTACATTTATACACCAAACCTATTTCGTGATTTATGTTACCAAACAATTAAATGAGATAAACAAACAATGTTCTTTGAATAAAATGGATCGTTTGATTAAATAATGATCTCCAATATATCATTGAAATTTTATTTTACTTTAAAAGATTTCATTTTACTTTTATTTTCATGTGCTGAACATCCACGCGAGAAATTAAACTTCAAGTGTTACACGCGATCCATGTGAGAGTGTAGATTATAAATAACTTTGTCCGAATCTATAATAATAATAGATTTATAGTAACATAATCGTTAAGATAAAAAGTTCTTCCCGAAAACTAGTAAATAAAATTTGCTGTTCATTAATGTTGTATATGAGCTAATAATGAGGATTAAATAATGAGGAGTTTGAAAAAAAAAAGCAATCAGATTATTATGAAGTTCGGAGTCGGTTGACAATTTTAAATTTCTTTAATGCTTTAAATATCAGTCGGCCAGAATTATGTTATGATCACATGAATTTTATTGTATTTAGCAGATTGGTAGTAGATTGGTATTCAAGAGTATTCTCTGAAAAAAACTTATTATTGAACTAAAATAATTAAGTAATTAACTTTTAAATTTCGACCAATCAAGCTTTGAACGTAATTATAATTTTAGCTCCTGTTAAGGAAATTCTTAGATGTGGCGTAAATGAATGTATTTCTCTCATTTTAATGAATTTCGTAAAATTTTATATATTGAATACATTGAATAATTAAATTAAACATTACATATAATAATATATAAATTATTAGCATTATCATATTTAACCGTGCATACTATCCATACTCAATAAGTGAAAATTCTAATATCATCTTTATAATACAAATTAACTTGATCGAGTTATCTGTTATTCGGTTATTAAATAAACATCATTATGCTATATTTATAAAATGTAATAATGTCAATAAAACTTTTCCTTAAAAAATTTTATTAAAATTTGATTTTAATAATCTTTATTGCACATACCTTTTTTAAAACCAATGGATTTTACTTGAGTACAAAAAAAAAAAAAAAAAAAAAAATATTTTACATTTATTATTGTTAAAAAATCTACTATAGTGAATGAATAAACAAATTATTATTATCCCTTGAATGGGCAAAAAAAATACCTTGTCTTCGTTCATCATTATCATTAATAAATGATAATGTTAACTATCGACAATTCAAATTACTCACTCCAGATCAAATCTCAGAGAATTTTTATAGTGAGAAATAGATTTCAGTGTATAAAATTAATTCATGTGTGAATAAATGTACATATTTTTCTTTTGGACAATTTTTTTAAATTTTTTTGTAACAAAAAATTTTTAAAATTGTTCCAATTATTAATGCACGAATTTCTGAAACGTGCACCATTAGAAAAAATCATGTACATTTTTTTTTTTTTTAATTCAGAATTATTACACTGAGACATAGACATATGCTAGATATATACTATACCTAAAGATATAACGATGAAGCAAATATTATGCCTCTTTTAAGTTTTTCAATTGAAATAGAAAATTTATTTTCCAACGCAATATCCCCGATGCATTTAGCGGCACCAACCATTGCTCGTAGTAATTCATCTAAACTTCTAAAGTTTCGAACAAGATTACCTTCAAACAATTCTACTTTTTTGCATGTTTCCTCAAATGTGCCATTCTAAAAAGATTTTATTATAAAAATTTATTAATTAAAAATTTACCATTCTTATGCACAAAAAAAAAAATAAAATAAAATAAATACTCACATTACACCAAATATAAACACTTTCCATTAAATCCGGTGCGAAAGCAGCAATATACTCATCTTTATCAATAGGAACATTGCATTCTTCTGATAGATCAGCTACAATTCGTGCCGTTTCTTTTAATTCACGGTATGGACCTTTAAATTCTTCCCTAAGATTATCTTCTCCGCATTTTGATTTATCATCAAATACAAAACAACTTAACAAAGATGCTATCAATTCAGGAGATAAGTCATTAAATACTCCATTCAATAATAATTCTGTTAATATCAATTCATCTCCTGAAGTAATTTCACAAGCAATTCTTCCTTTGAATTCCACAACGTCACCTTCTGATAAATATTGCATCCTTCGAAGCAAACGTTTTCGTTTTTTTAATTCATCAAGATGAAGGATAGCTTCAGCATCACGAATTTCCGATTTTTTCTTACGGACTTTTTCTTGCAATTCAAGTTTTTCACAATAACGATCGTACGCATCTGTAATGTTATTCATTGGATGTACTCCGATTTTCTCATCAATTAAATCTCTTTTCTAATAAATAAAAATTATTAAATTATTGATATATTCATATTTCATAACTAATAAATTTAATTAATATATAATTTTTATTTCCCTCGAAAAACATATTATTGAACTTACTGTGACAAGATCATCAAGTCTTTCATCTTTAACTTTAATATGCTTAATGGGTTCTAAACGTATACCATCTGGGTGTTTTTCAAGAACATGTAAAATACCTTGATATGCAACTTTTCTTTTTGCAGGCTCATGTTCTAAATCGCTATCTGGACAGAGACGAACTTGACTTAGGTCAACTATATCTTTTAAATCAAAAGGAACTACTAATAACACCCCAGCCTGATTTTCTGGACAAGGATTGATTTTGATGATTCTTCCATCATAGCTAACAAAGGAATCGTTAGAACATTTCATCAAAATTCTAATATTATATTTTGTAAGAGATTGTTTTGTAGATTTTGTCCAAGTTGTTGGCTAAGTAAATTAAACGTGTTTGTTAATTAAAGAATAATTATTATTTTACTTTTAATAAATTAATTAATCCTTACCTTTATTTCTTCATAACGAATAATCATACCCCATCCAAAATCATTCCCTTCAAATTTCACTTTAGCAAGCCTTCCAAGATTCAAATATGAAATAATATTTTGTGGTTCAAAGATAATGACTCGAATTCTATCGGAGTATTCATCATACATCTTACGAAGTTTGTAATATTCACTAAGCAATTCTTCTTGAGGTATATCAAAATTTTTATATTCTTCTTCCATTTTTTTAAGTTCTAATCCCAGCAAAATAATATTAGATAATTATTTGTGATAGTAAATTTTTATAATAAACTATACCTTCTTGTAGACGTGGTAAAGGAGCCGCATTTTGGAATTGATAAAAACTGCGTTGTAACATATATTCAGGACTAATACCTTCAATTCTTGACATGTTAAGAATCATATGGTATTTTAAATGAAACGCAGAACTTAGATGATCTGCTTCGCCCTATAATATATGATATTTTAATGTAATTAAAATAAATCAATACATGAATAATTATATTAATACACAAAAATTTCTAATTATTGTACCTACCTTGACCATTTCCTTAATGATATGAGGACTAATTTTGGATTCAATATTTAACATTACATAACCACGTTCATCAAGACCTCTACGTCCGGCACGACCTGACATTTGAATATACTCACCAGATGTCATCTGTTTGTTATTAAATATTAAATAAATGTTAACCAAACCCTTACTATGAGATATCTAATAATCATACGTATTAAAAGGAATTCACTAGCAAACCGGTCTCCTTTTAGTTCCATCAAATTTATCTAGCTCGCAAAAAACTACAGTCCTTGCAGGCATATTTAATCCCATAGCGAATGTTTCTGTAGCAAAAAGTACTTTCAATAGTCCTTCCTGGAATAAAAGTTCTACTACTTCTTTCATAAAAGGTAATAATCCAGAATGATGTACCCCTATTCCACGCTCTAACAATGGCAACATGTTAAGAAATGATGGCAAACGACGATCTTCTTCTGGTAGTAAGTCAATAGCATTCTCAAAGACCTTTTTTACTAGTCCTTTTTCATCATCTAAGTTTCAGAAAATTTTTAAAACATGTTATTTATATACGTGATTATAAACAAATACACAGTGAGGTAATATTAACCATTATTAAAATCCATTATACTCATTTGTCTCGCTAACAATTCACATTGCTTTTTTCCAAAAGCGAAGGCGATTATTGGGTTAAAGCCCCTTTGCATACATGTTTTAATAATTTTATAAACATTAGGTGTATCCGAAACTATTATAAAAATATTTTAAACCAAATTATTACTTAAAACAAAATTATACGTGTATATAAAAATAAGAAAGAAATAAATACTTTTTCTTTTATTAGAAAATTCATTTCTATTAATTTCCTCGGGTAATTGGGAAAGAACTTCTTTAAAATGGCCCTCATTAAATACGCCCTTTTCGTCAAGTACCATGTAAATCCCATCTCCTCCATCAGGATACATATAATGTTGTAGTGGAGTTGGACGAAAATCGGTATAAACAACATGACAAGGCTTTGAATAATATATAAAGAATAAGTAAAGTTTATAAATTTACATTAACATGATAATATTCACCTGTTCGTGAAGTTTGCATATCCATTCAGCAAATTCCATGGCATTCGGAATTGTGGCAGATAAAAAAACAAAGTGAACGTTATGAGGTAACATTATAATAGTTTCCTCCCACACAACACCTCGAGCTTTATCCCTCATATAATGAATCTCATCGAATATCACCCATGCCACTTCACGCAATATCTCACTGCCACGATATAACATACTTCGAAGAATCTATCACATTAAATATGAGATAAGTACACTTATCAGATTTATAATCGTAATACTAGATCAAATGACAATTTTCAAAACTAACTTCAGTAGTCATAACGATGCAACTTGCACTTGAATTTAGAGTAACATCTCCGGTCATTAAACCAACATCCTTAAAGTCGTGCTGTAATTCTCGGTATTTCTGATTACTTAACGCCTTAAAATAAAATACAAAATTGTAAATATTACTTAATCGATTGAAATTTAATCAGCTTTATCAATTGATTACCTTTATAGGACTGGTATAGATGACTCTTTGCTTGTTTTTTAAACTCTGAGCTATGGCATATTCTGCTATTACGGTTTTACCAGCAGAAGTATGCGCACTTACCAGTACCGATTCGGATTTTTCTATGCAAGAAATGGCGTGTTCTTGAAAAGGATCTAATTTGAATGGATAAGTTCGTGCTGGCTCTTTTGGCGGTACATGTTTAGAGATAGGAGTATAAGGATAATTTGGAGGAACAGCGACTTGATGGCGCACCTTTTTTCATGAACACATTTTGTTAATTCACATGCAAATCGTTAAATAAAACATTATGTGCGTATCTTTTTTCATAAACATATTTTGTTAACTTATATACAAACCGCTAAACTAAACTCACTTTATGTCCAAGTATAAGTTTTTCACCTAGTGCCACTGTTTCCTTGACCAATCCCTTAGAAGGAGCTACTTCTCTTATTGCTTCTTCTTGAAAGAGATCGGTAACAACTGGTTCATAACTAAGGTGAATTCTTGATTTTTTGGATCTAGAATCATTTTTATCTTTGCTTTGATTCTGTGAGTTTGTTCCAAGGGAATTTAAACCTCGCTTTTTGGAAGAATTTGAAGTTTTATCCGAATCGCCTGTCATATATTCTGATCTACGTGAAAAAGCGGGATATCACGAAAAAAAAATTTTTATCACTTATGTTCAATTTTTTTTTTTTTTTTTGCAGTGCGCAGCTGACGCAGCTGATGAATAAATTTTTTTTATAAATTTACCATGTGAACATAAACTTTATTCTTTATACAAAATCATGACTACACAAAACGTTGCTTCCGTTTATCCTTTGCCACCCGAGTATTACAAACGATATACGGACGAAAACCTCAGTATTCTTAAACAAGTTAAAGAACAAGGAGAAGAAACGTTTGTTGAGTCTGGAGGTGCTCTGCCACAAACTTTTAATATCTTAGAATTGGAACCTCCGCCCCCGATAACGGAAGGATATTATCACTGTTTTAACGACGCATGGCCGGTAAGTTATTATTCCCTTCGCTATTTAGACTTTTAAGGCATTATTAACGTAGATTTTACTGCCATTATAAAGGTTGTCGATGTTTTAAATTCTTTAGAAGATCAAGGACACAAACAATTATATCCGAAAGGCAAAATAGGTATGTTCAACTTATTTTGGTTATTTTACGATTAATTGCTAAATTTGTTTGAATTTCGATTCTTGTAGATCGAAATGTAGAACTTAAGAAACTGAATCAATCAGCAATTTTCAATTTCCTTGAATTGCTGAATTCATTGGTTAAAGACCCTGACCGAGTATGAATTTCTAGCCTAATTTCTGTCATTTCAAATTTTATGTTGCTAATTTTATATTCTTTAGTCTTTAGAGAAATTTGAACAAATAAGACTAATATTTCTTAATATGAAACATATGCTAAATGAGTATCGTCCACACCAAGTAAGTATATTGCAAAATTTTATTTTATTTTCTTTTTGATAAAACTTATGATTATGGTGTTTTACTAAATCAATTAAGGCAAGAGAAACTTTGCGCTCAATATTAAAAAATCAGTTGGAGGATAGAAGACGTGCCACCGAGGAAATTAAAAAGTATAAATTTAAATTGCTTTTGTAGTCAAATATTTTTTGATAATATATTTTATTAAATAAATGACTTTTTTAGTCGAGTTAATGAACTGGCTAAAACTTTGGAGACTATAAAATCATCATGGAAAGCTTTGGATGAAACTAAAATGGACATGGTTCGTGAAATAATTAGTTTTTTGGGTGATTAAACTTAAAAAAAGATTGGCAAGAATTAACCGATTTTTCTCCATGATTTTAGGATACTCATTAAATAAAAAGTAAGTTTATTAGATTAATTACCTTTTGTTACCCTTAATACTCCCTTAATGTACTTTTTGAATCCAAAGCAGAAATTAAATTATAAGGATAGCAATTTTTTAAATTTTTAATGGAAAAGGTAGATAGAATAATAGATAATATAATTTATAATGTAAATAATTTTTTTGAATTATCCGAGTATACGCATATTATTAAAAGAAATGATTGTTTGAGTATATTGTTTCATTCTTTATAATCATTTTCAATAGTTTCAACTTTCATTTCTTCGTGGTTTGCACCTAAAATGGAGGTAAATAGATGCTAACTTTTTAAGAATAGTTGCTTTCAAAATTCATTTTATGTGTCGCGTTTTTTTAAATAAAATTTGCGTTAACTCTATTTGTCAAAGTTGATCTTCAATTGTTACACGGAAATTGTCATCCAATCGATCTACTCTTAAAAAAAATCTCTAATAACCTAAAAAGCAGTGAAAATATTTCTCTTCTCTTGAGATTTATTAATTCCCCACCAAAGAGAGATAAATACGATAATGACAAATATTATATATGAATTAAATAATTATCTATAAATCTGACGAAAGGACTACTAAACTTTTTTTTAAAAAAAATCAAACCTATTTTTACATTATTATTCCTCTCCTTACCTTTTTGATTTTAATACAATGGCGCAAACACAATCAAGTCAAACCAATTATCCAGTTATTGATATAGATCCACACTTTAAACGAGTAGTTAGATATTTTAGACCTTCAGATTATGTGGTATGGGCAGGTGTTACTGCTTCCGGGCCTGCTTTTATGTTAATGATGGGTAAGGAAATAGGTTAATTTTTCGATAATTCTTGTTAATAATAATTTTATGTTTGAATAGAAAGAACAGGTGGTCCTTCAAAAGGGTTACCAATAGCATTAAAGCTCTCCACAGTGCTTGGTTTCTCAGCAGGATTTTTACTTTCTTATCAAAGAAGTAGTTGTAAGTACCTCCTATATCTTTTATCTTTTATAATTTAATAAAATTATTTTTATTAAAGTTTCTCTCTTTTTTTTTCCAAAGTAAGATTTTGGGGATGGACAGAAAATTCCAAAGAAATGGAAAAAGATAGAGATGAAATGGCTAAACTACTTGAAAAAGGTGAACCACTTTACGGGCCTGAGCACATGGATGAATTTAATCAAAAAGCTTCTTCGTGGTTTTCGAAATATTCTGCTTTGAAATTTTGTAAGTATATATATATACATATATATTTTTTTTAGAAAAAAAAACATTTTTTTATAAAATATTCTTTATTTAGCTTCTATTCCTTGGTTTAATTTCGCTAACCATCGTTCACATGGAGTTGATCCAAAAAAATATGAAAATAATTAAAAACGTCACATTGTTGAATAAAATATTAAAATTTATTTTACTTCTTAAAAGATGTTATTTTCTTAATCACCCGCCCAAGAATAAAATACCCATGTAATTTAAATATAAACGGAATAAATTATATATATCAAAGAATTTTTTTTTTCCTGTCACAATATCCTTCCTCTATTTGGAATTTCAAATTAGGTATATGAGTAATAACGAGGCTTCAACTATTATTTCGCTTTCTATAGTTAAGCATTCCTTGATCTCTTAATGATTCAAAAATAAGTTAATGAATTAAAATGAACAAAATGCATTGTTCCTTTCCTGAGGCAGCGATTCACCTGTATAAAATTTCACTTTTTTTAAATCGGTTCGGGAGTCCACCGCTCTTCAGGCTTAGGTAATTCACCATTTGACCTATAACTAACTAATTCTTTCTTATTCAAAACTCTAGCACCTTCTATAGTATATAATTCCATATGATTTAATTTTTGATTATTTTTTGCTAATAATCTTAAATCATCATAAGGTAAAGGATTTAATTCATACATGATGTCTAATATTAATTCTTCTAACGTGTTAACGTATTTTGCGAATAATGAAATAATTAATACTGGTGATACATTATATAACTTCATCGTTAATTTACGTATTGGCGCTATTGGCGTGTTAATGATAGAATCCGAAGAGAAAGAAGAAGGGGGAGTTGTTGGTGGTGTAGAAATTTGTAAAGATGGATTTATCTCTCTTAAACATTCAAAGGGTTCATCGAAAATAGAAGATTCTTTGTGATATTGAAAATTAATTTCTTTAAGTCTTCTACCGTTAATAAGTAAATGGCATAAAGTTTTTTTTGGAACACGAAAATCAGGTGAATGACTACAAGATAAATCAATCTTTTGTATGAAAATTGCGTAATCAACAAAAGTTTTTCCTGAAAAGAGCAGTATATCAGTAATTAAACGCCAGCGCAATGGAGTTTTTGGTCCAGCACCCCAATAACGATCACCCAAATTTTCCCAAATTAATGGAACCGTCAAAGAAAAAAATTTTCTATTTTGACAAAGACAATTTAATAATCGAGGAGTATCAAGATGCGAAAATATTTCTTCTAGTAATTCTGTTGGAAGTGTTGAAATTTCTGTTATATTTGACATGATGTAAGAAAGAGGGAGATTTCAATTCTTTAACTTTCTTTAAAAGAAAAGGAATAGATATTTAGGGATTTATACAAAATACTACCACCAAAATACTACTTTACGAAAAGTGAAAATATGATAGCAAAGAAGGGAATAAAAAGAAAAAGATCTGATTGGTATTAACTGCTAATAAATATAAATCAATTAAAACAATGAAAAATGCATGACATATTACCTTTGCCAAATAAGGGTATTTGTGATCATACGACTGTGGCTACAAATCAGTATAATAAATTAATTTTTTCTAAGAAAAAAAAAATCATTGTCTCAAATAATGTCCTCAGCAACAACAGAAAAAGCTGTCGATTATCTTGTTAGTCAGAAAACAAGTGTAGAGACGCCAAGGTCATTGAATTTTTTTATTAATGTTTATTTATTGTACTTTATATTAAAACTTTTTTGAACAGGGGAGTACTTTTTAAGCTTTATTCACATACTATTATGATGATAATTCTTCCGCTTTCTACCTACTATTATACTTCAAATTATTACTTTGAAGGTATTATTTTTGAATTTCCCTCGAATTTCATTCAAATGATACTCATTCTTTTAATTATAACAGGAGAAAATAAAACAACGTATGCCGCACTTGCAGCTGCCGGAATTGCAAATGTTGTTGTATTTTCTTTTATAATCACAGCAATTTGGGAGGATTATTCTAGTAATACACAACAAAAACGAAATAAAGAAGATTAAATAATCATCACAATCATCTTAATTTGTATAATAAAAAAATAATTCTATAATCTTAAAAAATTGACGTTTACAATTACATTATATTTATTTTAATACTTATAAATTGTAATTAGCCTTTATGTATTGTATTTATTATTTTTTTTTCATTTCTCAATTATAATATAGTATAATATATTTATATTTAATCTTTATCAAACTCTATATCAGACATATATATAATTCGTTTTATATATAAGATATTTATATTCCAATGAATTATATTACCATTTCTTATCATCAAAAAGAAAATTAACCAGTTTTCTTTTTAGATGACTTTTTCTTTTTCTTTTTACCACTAGATAATGAAGATGGTGATACCTCAACATAATCTTCCTCTTCTTCTGTTAATGCACCACCCGAAGCTCCAACAGCATCTATATTACCAGATACTTGAGCCTTTTTTTGTTTAGTTTGTCCATCATCTCTTTCACTATCACTTGATACCATTTTCTTAACATTATCTTTTTTTTTCTTTTCTTCATCACTGTCTTCGGCTGTATAATTAAACACTTCTTTTAATTGATTTTTCACAATACCAGTAATTAATACAGACAATATACATGCGGGTGAAAGATAAAGTAACGCTGGTTGAGCAGCTTTAAATGTGTGCATAATTACTATGGTTGTAACAAGACCCAAAATATACGCTGTAAAACAAGTATTAAAATAGGGTGTTGGAAATGCAGAAAATTTTTTAGCATTGGGGTTCTTTTTTAGGTAAAGGCTATGATCAAAGCGAAGGCAAAGAGCAACATAAATCCCTAGGAGTTCGCGTGATAAAAAATTAAAGATCAATATAATTATTTTTCCTGGCTCAATATAATTTGATTAATTTGTAAAAAAAACCTTACCAGGAATAACAATATCACCCAAGCCCAACATCGTAAATTGTATAGTCTCATCGGGCAGTAATCCTAACCATTGTTTCGGCCAGACGACTTTAATAGGCGCATCAAAGCTTTTGGCAACGGTGACCATTACCTCTGTACCAAATACCCAAAAAATATCATAGAAAAATAATCCGCTTAAAAGAATCATGCCAGTCTTAAATGAATCGATAGATAACATTTGAATTGCATTAAATGCAAAAGCAAGTCCAAAGATATTAGAAGCGATCCAATTTTTGGTCGCTACGTAATATGCGGTAAGGATAAGTGAAACGAAAAGTGTAACGAGATGTATAACTGTAAAAGTGCCCTTATAAATCTCTAAAATTGAATAATGTACTGCAACGGTTAATAATATGATTAAATATATAGTCAAGAAATTTAATTTAGATTAATTACATACCTTTAGATTTCTTTGTTAAGACAAACTTGTAAGCATCTAGTTTAAGCCCACTACCGTTTTTGATAATATGTACACCAGCGTTCGTCAAAGCAATTACCCCCAAAAATGCAAAATACCCGGTAACAAGATAATTCACATATTCTTTATCTAGTAACTTAAATACTAGATAAAGTGAAAATAATACAATGGAGCCAAAAACCGGAAACATATAAGCATCTTCAGTTGATAAAGACTCGAAAGATGATTCATCCTCTGAAGAAGAATCAGTGTCAGGGATTTGTTTAGAGGTTTTTTTCTATTATTGCGACAAAAACAAAACAAAGCTTTAGTAAACTATTAAAACTCTTTGACGTGCTCAGTAGTTCATACCTTAGGCCACTTTACCGAGGCGAATGATCCATAATAGATCGGTACCACCGCCATGGTACCCAAGGCGACGTATGCGATCAGTAGACTAGTTTCCATTATTTTTTTTTTTTAATGCAGTAAACAATCGAAACAAGTTGAAGAGTTTTAAGGAATGTATGTTATGGTGAGTTATTAATGTTATTTATATTAATTTAAGCTGGGAGGTGTGGGCAAAATTTTTCGTTCCAGGTCTATAACAGCTGTGTTGTTGATTTTTGATTTGTTCGGAATTCGATTTCATAGTATGATAATTTGGGCATCAATTTCCATATCAGATCGTATATCGTACGTGTACAATTCCCAAATTTTATTATACTGCGCCACCAACCTCGGCTTGTGTGACATCAGTTCATAAAATAGTTTCTTTATAAATCAATCGAATAAGAGAATAGTTATTTTCTTAAACTGAAATTCTGTACATAACAGAAGAACAAAAGGAAAGCTTCGAGTAAAACTCGGAATAATCTTGAAACAATTTGTTTTTCGATTAATATATATTTTTTATAATAATAAAGAAATTTGAATAATAAGAAACAAGAAGTAGGACTTAGAAACCAATAGATGAAATTAACAGAGCAAACCAAACAAAGAACCCTCTTTTGAATACTTTTGCTCAATAATTTAAATCACAAATGGACCTGAAGTTTACATCGTTAACAATAAATTTATGGGTAGTTTAGAATTTTATAATAACGTTAGGTATCACATGTAGAGGAACTAAAAAGCAACGAGCAAAAGAAAACGTTGTAAAGATTGCTATTGCTGATTTAAATGGTTCAAAGTATTGAAAATGCAGATAAATAGACGACGTTTTGAGAACTGTTGAGGCACTTGGGCCGAAAAAAGGAATTTTGGACTGGTGTAAGACAATTGGTGAAAAATCTTCATCCATCAAAATTGTTCATGAGTTGTTGTATGTGCAACAAGACAACATAAGTATGTTGTCAAATGTATTCAAGAAATGGATGTATCTCCAGACTTAAATTTTTTTAGTATCACGATTGGCAATGATATATGGTATTCTAATTTTGAATTTCGATTTAAACCGGATGCTAAAGATTACGTAGCAATCATGCTTTTATGAATAGAAATCGTGAAACTGAAAAAGTAAATGCAAAAATTCTAGAATATAGGATCAAACAGGTCAATAGGAATCTTGAAGAGCTTAATAAAAAATAAAGGTCAACCAAGATAGAAGATGCAAACAGGACGCGTTTTGTTTCGTCCATATACCCCCGTCCTTCAATATGTCCTGAAATGAGTACACTACCTAAAGTTCCTTATTTGTATCCACTAATAAAACCAGAGGGTACAAGTTATCATCACGGATTAATTCTGCATGGTGAATCTTATTATGGTTGAACTCGACAAGGAGAAAACATTATCGTTTTAGACGTAAATTAGTATCAATACCAAAATAAGCTATATCAACCTGTTATACAAGAGATCCACACAATTTAAGTGGGCAGATATTATTACTTCTATAATCATGAAGGTGGCTATTCCGCGGAGGTTTATGTTGATGGAAAACGTTATTGTGAAAGGCAGATGCAAAAGTCAATGCATCCAATGCATTTGTAACTTGCTAGCATTATAATTTATTTAATAAAATTTTAATAACCTATTTGAAAAGATATTTGCGATAAATTGCGTTATTTGCGTTAACACATATTCAAAATCGTTATAATATTATACTACCGAAAATTTTATAGATATGTTTGCTAAAATGCTGACTGTATATGCTTTATTGATCATGATCTTTTAATCATTAAATTTTTTTTATTAAATTTGAAAAATATACTCTATAAATAAAACTTCTATTTAACCATGAAGATACAAAAATAAATATACAATGTTACAATGTTATTAAAATTTTTGTAATCTAGATATATTAGTCTCAATCCCATTATCATATAAAATTTAGTCATCACTACTAGAAGAATCACGATAATCTTTTTTTGGTTGTCCAGCGTTGTATCCCCACAAATGCTGCGTTTCTTCTAAATGACTTAATGCTTTTGTGAATACATCCTTACTAGCATTAGTTCCCCACCAGCAATCTAAATGACCATACTTATCAATTTCATGGTGTACATAATTATGTTCGCCATTTATCGTTCGTAATGTATCATAAGTCTTTTTTGTTGACATTATATCAAATCTATAAAAAAAAAAAATAGGATTTTTATTAGAACACAAATTTTTATCATACTATTCAATCGATCATATTTTTTATATATACTTACACTACATTCTCTTCTCCATGAATTAGACAGATTGGGAAATTTAATCTATTACGAACATTCTCTTTTGTGGCATAAGTATTTTGACCTTGATAATTTAGGATCAACTTCTTTCGTGCTGCAACATGAAGATGTTGCATTGTAGTAAGATTTATGGTTCCAAAAAAAGTATGCTGATTATCATGAATTTTCTGATTAAGATTTTCGTGTTGATATAATGTACCATAACACAAAGATGCTCTGTGACATAATGCACTACGACAAGTTTGACTTTTAGGTACTGGATAAAAACGTAACAATTGATCGACAACTTTGTTGAGGATATTTGTATTTGAGGATGTTCTTACATCAAATTCTGTTTGGCGTAATACGTGTTTCCAAAATGGAAGTAGTTTTAAATGCATTTTAACGTTATTCCAGAAACCAAGTATAGGATGCATTGCAACTTGAGAACCAATAAGGCACCCAACTCCTTCAATTTTCCCATCCAACAATCCCATAAATGTTGTAATTGAACCTACACAATGAGCAATCACACCAATTGTTTCAACACCAGTAACTTCTCGAACTTTTTTAACAGCAGCTGCATGATCTAATCTAATATCGTCTAATGTGGCTTGATTTTTACAAGCCGGATTTGTTGGCGATAAACGATAATCAACCAAAAATACATCATATCTATGTTCCAAAAGATAATCTAAGAAACTCTTCTTGATTAAATTAGTTGACCACATTTCATGTGACATGGCAGCACCATGCACTAAGAGAATCGGACCTTTTCTTCCACCTTGATATCTGAACAATAAGCTTTTAACACCATCCTCAGCTGTAATTTCCCATACCGACTTATTTGGTCTACATTTATGATGAAATGCTTTCGGAACTGGTTTTTGATCTGGATATTCTAAAGGAAGGAATCTGACAAATACATGTTTTAACATTGTTGACACAAAGAAATCATCGAACGTAATCATGGCTTTAATTTTCGATAAATCATTTGATCCAGTCGCCTAATAATAATTATTAATGATTAATAATTAAATTTCATATAATATTTTTCTCTTTCTATCTCTCTCTCTATAAAAGGAAAGATCTATCTTACCTTAAATGTAGTCAATTGTTTCATAAATTCGAAAGGGCTCATTTGTAATATTCCTCTGCCGACTATTTTCCTAAGATCTTCTTCCTCATCTTCTTGAGTAACATTAACTTCATCCAAATCTTCTTCTTCATCATCTCCACGTAAATATACCGTAACATATAAATTGGTAGTCTGTTTCCATGCTTCTCTCATTTTTCCATTCTTTACTAATTTATATCCTTTAAATCGATATTTTGTTCCGTCTGTAGCTTTCAAATTCAAATTGTACATCATTCGATTAGAATCGACTTTATCAGTTTCCGGGATAAATAAACGGAATTTCCCACGAGTTACAAGCAACGGATCGGGTGATAAAGCTCGACATGATATTGTACCAATAATTATTGCTGAATGATCATCCATATCAACCAATGTATCAGCGTTATAAGCAATTACTGTTAACAAAAATTGCATTGTTGAATCTGCAGATTTCGCTTGTACTAAAAATATTTGATATAATATTGAAAAATTAGAATATTATAAAGACAATATATTTGAACAATTTTAAATCTAAATCATTTATTTGCTTACATTCAGCAGTAACATAATCCGTCGATAAAATTTCGGTTGAAAAATAACCCTTCATAACTTCAGTAAAACTAATTCCACCTTCTAATTCATGATTTCTTGGTCTTTTTATTAAATCTGGTTCATTTTGCTCGTAGGATACTAATGGTCTATTATAGTCAATCTTCCTTCCAATGAGACCATAATTGATTGACCAATCACGATCTTTGGCTGCATATTCACATATCCTTTCAGCTAATGCACAAATCGTAAAGAACGGATTTACTCCAAGAGCAGTTGGTATAATCGCACCATCACACACGTAAAGACCTTCATGAACATCTTTGCTATTGCCTATAAACACTTGTCCTTTATGATTTATAACTCCGAATTTTCCATCTTTACCCATATTACAACCTCCAATGGGATGAACAGTAACCAATCCACGTCCCAAAGGTTTAGTCCATAATGGAGATGGTATGTAGGTTCCTTTAGCTTTAAGGGTAGCTTCTTCCAATACTTTATTTAATTTTTTCACAGTGTCTGAAGCACCTACACCTTTATTATCAATTTTCAATCGATCATTTACCAATTCTAATTGTCCCGTGTTATCATCGTGTGACATGACCAAGTAGGTTTGAGTATGTGATGTAGCTCCGGTATAATAACCTCCAAACGCCGATTTAACTTGTCTCCATTTTCTGGAAGCAGACTCCGAGTACGTAATATCTGGTTTGGAACCGATTGCAGTACTTCCTGATTTAAGAACAACTTGAAAAGACTTGCCCATGGCGGGAGGAACAACACCCTCTTCTATTACATAACCTTGAAGTACATTCTCAGCATCCCGACGCATATCAATGACACCGGTAATGCATGGTCCGACCGGAGCTTTCATGTTAGCTGGATCAATATTTCCTGAACCAATGCCATTAACAAAATGGTCCAAATTATAACCAAAGCCAAGTATCTAATAATAAAAATAAAATTCTTTTTAAGATAAAGTGAAAATATTATAAAGTTATTAATTTAAAAACAAACACTTACGTCACCATTTCCACTGAATCCTTTTCCTAAACGATCGCTAACTTTCAATCCATATGCACTTGATCTTAATAAGATCTCATTTGTACCAAGTGTACCAGCTGCAAGAAAAATGACTTCAGCAATAACAAAGAAAGGAGCATTCCGGCTTTCTTTTGCAAAATTAGTGCGATTGTCCTTTAAAGATATAATTAATTGATAAAGTTAATAAACAAGAATAAATACAACAATTCAATGCAATAATGTTAACTTACATCCAACCACTCATAAAATATAATATATCTTCCAGTCTTTTCACATTTTTTAATTCGTAGTACATCACACTCACAAAATATTTCACAACCATGATTCCATGCATCAGGTATATAATTCATTAGAGTGCTATTTTTGCTACCGTCGTTAACTCCTGTACAATCATTCCCTGTTAATGTGGAGGCATATTGCTGCACTCCTGCAGCATTAATACGATCTTCAAATGTAACTGTGATGGGTACTCTATAAAAATTTTTATGATACTCCTCTCCTAATAATTTAGCTTGTTCTTCTAAAGTTTTTAATTTTGGCAATTCGGGATAATGAGATGGATATTCACTTGGTTCAAGCATTTCTCTAGCTCTATCATAACCTACAATATAAAATAAACTCACATGTAAAATATATCATATTTTTTTTGTATGTAGTAAATCTATTCCATACCTCTTTTTATACTTTCGCGATCATTTTTAATTTCATCGGGCCAAACAGACATATCCCATACGCGATCATCAGCTTCAAGAGCAACATTTGCGTTTATAAGGGAAGTACCTCCAAGACTATATGATGTGATTAAAAAAAATTTAGATCGTTCATTGCGAGAATAAATCAATGTTTAGGCAACTTACCCACAAGCAACTAATGCATCTTGACTACTACCATCATGAAATCGAAACATTCCGGTTTTATTACCCATTTGCCTTTTAGGTGAACTAAATTGAACTTCTTTTAAACATTCTCTTAGCTTAGAGGGATATTCCCCGGGCCATTTTTCTTTTCCTAGTTTAATATTAAATATAATTTATCAATTTTTAAACACAAATAATGTTTGAAAAAATAAATATTTACCTCTTTCTAATAATGCAACTCTTTTACCAGCTCTCGACATTCGTGAAGCCGCAATCGCACCACCATAACCTGACCCAATGACAACCACATCGTAGACTGGTTTCATTTGAGGTACAGGTAACGAAATATGAGGGTATTCTAACTTTTCTTTAGACATCTTTAATAATTAATATTATTAATTTTTTAATTATTATTATCCAGAATAAATAATAAAAAATGGTTTTTTTTTAAAAAAAAATTCTATTTTTTTATAATTTGTGTTTTTTGATAAAAAAAAAGAAAAGAAAATGTCACGATTTTTATAGAAGATTAGGAAAAATGATTTACCCAAAAATGAAAAGGATTGGGTAAACGTGAGAATGGAACAAAAAATGGCTTTTTATTGTTAAATGAAGCCAGATGAAATGGTTAGATATTATCTGATATTCTAGATGCAGTAAGTAGTACACAACAAAACATTAATTTTCCAAAATTTTACTAAACTTGGCACGATTTTCAATGATAATGAATTTAGTTCGGCCGGCCCCGGTCATTAAAAGTTTGACTGATTTGACGAGTTGAGAGAATTGAAACCATGATGTGTTTGTAAATCAAAATTTTTAATTATTATTCTCATAAGAAATTGTTCAACAGGGTTCAATAGCTTTTAACCGTTCGTAGATCAACGCACTCAAAATTATATTTTTCTTTCCAAAAACTGTCTAGTGAAACTTCGGCTCGACTTTTATCCTTGTGCTTTTAAAAGAATAATATTTTCTTTTTATCTCTTAATTTAGAGGATAATTGTTGTATATCAGTAAATGGTAAGTGTTATGGCAAAACAATCTTATCGGTGTTTATCTTTTACGGAATATTATCGGCATAGTTGAGTTCCGTGTTCCGGATAATTATTTACTTAAAATTTTAAATATTGAATGTTGTAAAAAAAGAAATAATGAACCCATCAAACTAATCATTGTGACCATTATTTATGCTACAAACATGGGCAAGATGCGCATTTATTTTCAATGGCTTTCAATGACATTATGTGGTGAGATTTTCCTTGCATAAAAATTAACCCGTTATAACGTTGCCTACCCTCTCCAAAATTTTTTCATCGATCCTCCACGTGGATTTATCTCCCCAAGAGCACCGTAACGAAAAAGTTACAGTCAGGTGACATTTGACCTGCATTATGGCATTATGCACTAACACATGAAATGGATGCCTTTGTACTACTAACCTAAAATAGTGTAATTTCGTTCGAAAGTTTTATTGTTCTATTTTTTATTTTATTGGTACTTTTATTAACAATTAAATATAACCATTTACAAACTTGGGAAGTTGGGAGTAGAACCATCAAGTTTTAAAAAGACTTTTTTATTTATATAATACAGTATAGAAATTACCTTTTTATTGCAACTATTAATTATATATAATATAAAAATTTTAATGTTAATAATTTATTCCAGCTTATTTTACTAAAATAACCAACAATAATATAAAATCACAAGAAATGTTTAGACAAACGTTTCTCTGCATGTTTTTTTTTCTTTTATTAAGAACTATAAGCATTTTAAAAGTATGTGCGTGCTCTCATCTATTAGAACTTTACAAATAAACGTTCCTTCGCTTTTAAAAAACACCAAAACCGTTCAAGTCACGTTAGTCACGTAACCGAAAATTTATTGGTAGTGCTCTTAGTGACGAATAAGAAGTGACAAATATGATTTCACTAACAAAAAAACCTAGTAAATAGTGAAATACGGAGGGTGTGACACCTGTCCAAAAAGTCAAAAATTTTGGCTGAATTTCACCTACTCATAATTTAGGCGAGATCATAATTCTGGTCAAAATTAACGTAAATTAAGCCATATTTCAATCATCATCATTGTGATACAATCAGGGTTGCAATTTTTACAAATTAAAAAAAACATCATTTTATGTCATTATGTCATTGATACATCATTCATATACGGTATATATGTATGGTAAGGTTGGTTTATATGTAATTAATGCATCCATTAAGTATTTTATTGCTGCTTAAAGGTTTTGTCTCGTTAAATTTTGAACTAGATCACCAACTACCGTTTAATCTTAATCTGCTATCATCGTTAGAAAAATTATTACCAATCGATCGATCGGATGGGCTACTCGTTTTTATTTGATCTAAAAATTATTCGTCTATATCCGGTTTTGGCTTATACTTTTTCTTCTTTCAGCCACTTTTCTTATATTCCTATTATGAATTTCCCGTTAATATGACACGTGACTTGTAGGTATAAATGAAGCCTCAAAATTTAAAAGCTTTTTTTTTTGTTCCTTTTTCTTAGAAACAGGACATTTTCTTTTTTATTTATTCTTTTTGCCATTTTGACAATTTTCTTCACAAAAAAAAGAAATGGTTGATTGTTGTTGTTGTTGGTAAGTGGGATTCCAAAATTGTCACGTGCTGCAAGTAAGTTATTGAATAAATTATTTCTTTTTATAAAGTATTCCGGTTCGGTTAGGTACTATCATCCTTGCTGTAATCACCTTGGTAAGCTTTTATTCCGTTATTCGATTTTATTAAAAAGCTAAAAATAAAATTTAATATAATTATTCTATCGTTAAAATAGGTTATTTCAATATCAGGAGCATCCGCTTATTTAGGGAAACCTGATGGTATTACTTATTAACTCTTAATCACGCGTTAATCATCAAAAAAGTAATTTTCTTTTTTTTTGATATTAGTGATTTTGCCTGGATTTCCACATGGTGTCGCCACGCTTTTTGGATTTTTATTCATTCTTATGGCATTAATTTCGATATTTGGAATCATTGGATCATTTTTTGTAAATATATTTATTTGTTTACATTTATCTATTAACTGTTTATGAAATTTTCTTAAATTTGCTTTATGTATTGTATTTAAGAGTTCTCCTGGAGCTGTTAAACTTTTCGAATGGATGCTATGGGGATTTGTACTAGCATTCGTTATAATGGCAGGAGTTACTATTTACAGTACAATTAAAAATAAACAATTAGCAATTGATAATTGTATAGCAGATCTTCAACAAGATGCAGATAAAACTTTCGGAGACATTAATAGTTCTAATGCTGACAAAGTTGTTATAAGCGATATAACCAACACTACTACCAGCGCAATTAATGATAAAATATCAGGAAACTTTCCTGATATTTGTAAAGAACGTATAAGAATAAAAATCTGGGTTACAATTATCGTTTCTTTAATAATAACATTATTTGGGGTAAGTATGATCTATTTTTTTTTTGTAATTTGATATATGTAGCTTTTTATTTAGAGCATTTGATTAATTCTTTTTTTTTTAAAAGGCTTATTTCGCTGGAGTTGTTTCTCGTTTCGCTGATGCCATCAAACCTAGAAATAAACGTAACATTCCTACTTCTCACGTTGCTAATTTACCGGATACCAAATACACCCCAACTCTTAAAGAAGATGAAAATAAAATATCTCCTTAATAATAGATGATTAGTTTATTTTATTTATCTCTCTTTTTTATGTAAGTTTTTTAAGACAGGTCCCGTTAAAATTCTGATATCAGAAAAATATAAATATAATGTTGTCCCAATGTTATTTCTATCCTCATATATAAAATTCATCGATTACTGCCATTATAATCACATAAAATATCTATCTAGTATCTACTTCGTTATTGTTTTTCAAATATCCCCAAAAAAAAATCTTGTATTTATTCGAATGATTTGGTTTGAAATTATATCACATTACAATAATATTTAAAAATAAAATAGGTTAAATATCTTACGAATGAAACATTTGTGCCTGATTTTCATTTTTTTCTTGTTATTACAACAGTACATCCAGCAGAATGCATACAATGTTGAGCTACAGTTCCCGTATTAGTAGCATCTGGTGAAGAAGTTCCTCTATGGCCCATTACTAATACATCAATTTTTTGTTCTCTTGAAAGATTAACTATATATCTTCCGGGATCAGAATTAGAACTAACAAAACATTCAATAGGTAACTATTAAAAAAATATGTTCATTAATTTTATTTACGTTTATTACGTAATAATAATTAAAAATTAATCAAAAATTCAAACCTCTTGTGTTTTAAGTAAGTTTTTGACTATTAATTTACCATCATTGACTATTTCCTTTGCTTTTTCTTCTGCCTGAATAAAAAATTGATTATTTTAGAATTTCAATATAAAATCGAATTTGAATTTGACGATACCTTTTGTCGCTCCAAATCTATTTCATTATCACCATTTAATATATTTCCTGTTCAATTATCAAAAAAAAAAATTAGATAAAAAAAATATTTTTTTTTACGATAAAAAGAAAATAATGGCTTACGAGTTACAGCAGAATATTCACACGGAGTGCCTGCGGATAATACGCCTACACTCAATAATAATACAGAATCGATATTTGGGTTAATCAAATTTTCAAAAGCCCATAATAAAGAATATTTTGAGTGATCAGAACCATCTAATATAAAAATAAATTTGTTTAAATTATCAAGTAATTTTCATTCATTTTTTTTTTAACTTTCAATGAAATAAACTTATACCTAACGGTATTAAATATTTCTTTCCCATATCTTATATAATCTCAATTTTTTTTTTTAAAAAAAAAAATAAATTTCTTGGTAAAAAAAAAAATAAAGTAATAAGTTAACCAATTTATAACTTTTTTTTTTTTGATCACCCAACATTATATAAATACGTCATTTTTGTGACATGACGGACAATTTCCAAGTTTAGGTGATTTTTTTCTTCGTATGATAAGAATTTAGGAATCCAGATTTACAAGAAATCGGCGATTTTTCTCAATAATTGGGGAAAAAAAAAGCATGAAATAATGGATAAGCACAGGCCACACAGAAAATAATGAATTCCTCCAAACGGAAAAAGAATATTGTACAGCAGATCCTCAAATTTTGTGACATCAAAACATTTTGAATTAGTTACGTCATTATCAAGACGAAAAAAAAATCATTCGATCTCGGATTTTTTTGGCTCTTTTAAAATAAACTTACGACTGATATAAATTTTTTAGATGATATGATGTAAATACCAAATTGAAAATTCGATTTTGCCTTTTAACTATTTATATACTTTTGGCACTATTTATATACAATTGGCACAATTGGCGCAGAATTATCACGTTGATGCTAACGATGCTAACCTAAGACGAAATAGCTCACATGTTTATGCTCAAAAAAAGGTTGAAAAAGTTTAAAAAAGTTTCGATTAGAAATTCTTTTGTTTTTTTTAAAGAAATAGCCTATTAAAAAAGCTGTTTCCGTTTTTTTTTTTAAAATGTTTCATAATTGATACACAAAAAAAAGAAATCAAATAGTTAGTCATAAGTCATCAATATTTGTAATATGTGTATATTTAACAAAATAAATTGAATACGTTGTGATTATCAGGACAATATAACGAATTTGCTTTACTTTATTATTTGAAAACAAAGGTACATATTTTTATGCCATTTTCTTACGAACACAAAAGGCAGGGATATTCTATAAATTAAAAATGTGTACCCCAAACTAAGTATTTGTTCCATTTTTTTCTATTTGTCTATTTTATTTAAACAACAAATAGTATACGATCATTATAATAAATTATTGTAATAAATTATTGTAATAAATTTTTTTTTTTTTTTTTTTGATACATGTACTCCGTTATGATACATTTTCGCCTTAATCAAATGCTTCAACTGCTTATGTTTAAAGAAACTTGCATTAGTTCCACACCTTTTTTTGTTTTAAATATGCATCAATACGTTAATACGCGGATTCCTTTTTTTTTAAAAAAAAAACCTTATACACGAAATCGATTCAAAAAGGTTTCATTATTAGTTGAATCTCATTGTTATTTTTTGATATCCTAACCCTTTGTTTAGTTTGATTCTTTTTATATTCAACAATTTTATTTTTAACGTTTTCTGTAACAAATAACAATCCATTTCTTTGGTAATTCTTTTCCTTCATTACCAAATTTAGATACTTCAAAGTTATTTTTATCTAGCAAATTTTGTATATTTTGTTTACTCTTACCACCATTTTAGCTTTTCCTACCTACCCTTCGCATTTCTGCACCCGTTTTTTTCCTTTTTATTTTATAGGAAAGTGGAGAGTTTTGGCAGCGCCAAACTCAAATAAAAAAAAATATATACTTTTATTTTATAGAAAACGCTGCTCGTTAAATAGGTCGTTTATAATAAGAAAATATATTATTTGCAGAGCAAAATAAACTTTTTAGTTCCTTCTTCTGGATAGAATTAAATAGAAAAAAGTTCCCAATCTCCAAAAAGAAAAGAAAAAAAAGTAAAGAAATAATCTTTTTTTTCTTTTAAACCTTATAAAGCTGAAATAAAAAGTCTATCAACAAATGGGTCGTACTATAGCACGAACAATAATTTTCGTTGTTGCGACTTTTTTAATGGTAAGAAAAATTTTCTTTTTACGATACAAAAAATCAATTTATATCTTGTAAAATAATAAGGATCAATCATTTTTAATACTATATATATATATTATATATATCGATCTATATAGCTTTATTCGATATCGGTTGCAGCTCTTACTTTCAGTAAGATAAATAGTAAGTTAAAAAAAAAAATTTTTTTGATTTATTAAATTCCTATTTAGAAATAAATTTGTAATTTTTTTTATTACCCTCGACGAAAAATTTATATTTTTTTTTTTCTTTTTTTTTCCCTCTGCAGTTACTGCATTTCACCTTAGTCAACCACTATTGATCGGGTATGGTGTATTTTGGTTGATTGTTGCCCCGTCTGGGTTATGGGGAATTTTTGGATCAACTCAGGTATGCATCTATATTTCTAAATTTGGACAAGATGATTTACATTTTTTTTTTTACGCGTTAAAAAATATTTTTTTTTTTTTTTTTTTTATACATAGGATAATACAGATTTATGTAATCGATATTTGAGGGATCATTGGTTTTCTTCTGCAGTCATATCTACAGTTGATATAATAAAAATAGTATTTTCTTTTACGATGAAAGATAATTCCATACAAAAATGTTTGAACGAAACTCCAACCGGAAATTGTGGTAAAAAAGTTGACTTTTCCCAAAAAGCGGGTTTGATCGCCTTTGGGGTACAGGGATTCCTTATGGTAATTAACCATAATTTTATTATTATTATTGTATTTTTGTTATTATTATTGTTTATATAAAAAATATTTTTTTTACGTTAGGTTGGTCTTGGTTTACTCGTATGGTTTAGTTGCAGACAACTTTCAAAAAAGAAAGATGAAAAGGCAAAGGTAGAGTTAGGACATGGCTTAGAAACACAAAATACTCGTCAATTAAATGACGATGATACTATTAATCTTAGAGTAGAAGATAGAGTTGAAACGAATCCACTTTCATCATTTAAAGATCGTCGTCCATCACAGTATAGTAAAGGGCAAAAGGGACAAAATGAACAAAAAATTAAAAAAGATAATGAAAATGTTGTAAGATCACGTGAAGAACAAGGAAGTATTAAGAATGCCAATAATGTCGATGTCAAAAATGCCGACATTAATAATACAAATAATGTCTATAATGTCGACAATATCAAAAATGTCAATAATATTAATAATATCAGGAATGTCAACAATATCAAAAATATCAAGAACGTGCAAGGATTTGACCAACAACAATATACGACACCACTACGTCCTAGAAAATCATCTGATAGACAAATGACTCCGTCTGATGAATTACAAGGATATCCTCCTCAAGGAATGAATCAAACGGCTCCAGTAAACCGTTCAAAAAGTATGGCTCCACCTGTTCGCTCAAATAGTAGCAGGTTTCCTCCCCCTCAGCCTGAATATCGATTTATACCATCCATACAACCTCCACAAGGAGTTAAAGGAATGCAAAAAAGTAGGGCTCCCATTCCTCCTTCATTTTATTATAATAGACCACCATTTCCACAATATCAACAAATGTCCAATTTCCCACCCATGTATCCATGGCAACAACAATGGCCAGGTTATAATAATAGACCAATACCACCCCAAGGAGATTTTCGTGGACACAGACGTTCAAAAAGTCAACCTGAGCTTCGCCCTCTTCCATTCCTTCCACGTCCTATGGATTATCAAATTCCTTCGAATCCTCCTCAAATTCCTAGACAAAAACAAGCGATACCATCACAAATAATTGAACGACAACAAAAAATTCCTATTGATTCAAAAAACAAATATAATAATGAAAATAAAAGTAGTAATAATTCACAAAATACTTCTGCAGCAAGTTCAAGACGATCTTCAACTTCTTCGCGGCGTAGATCATCAGTAAATGATAAACGTCCTTATTCACAAATGCATCGTACTAATTCATTACCAAACTTAAGTAATCACGAAGATTTAATGAGAAATGAAATGTTATTTGCTCCACCTGTACCATTGATTCCATCAAATTTACAATCTAATACAAAAAATAGTAACAAAGATGATAAATCTGATAATAAAAATACGCGGGAATCTCAACCACCAATAATAAACAACGATGATAAGCTCGAAAGATTTATTAAGATGTATGGTGATAAAGAATATAATATGTACAATAGATATTCACAATATAGGAATAGTAGCTGGAGCACGAATGATGATGATGATGATTATGTTCCTCCAAAGAGACAAAGACCAAAATCAGCTCAATCGGTACAAGGTGAAGCTAGCCCTAAATCTTCAATATATGTTGAAGATGGATATTATAATGACTATTATTATGGACCACCTTTAGGTGGACCACCTTTAGGTTATAACAACTACGTTTATCCTCAATATTCAGGACCAATTGGGTATAATAATGGAGAAAATTTCGTTCAAAGTAATCCGATGAATTATAATGGTGGCTGGGTCAATTATGGTCAACAAAGACCACAAAGAATGAACTATTATTATTAAAAAATGTAAAAAAAAACAGACTTTTTCTAGATAGATAGATATCTATTATGATAGAAATTTGGGTGGAGTTTTTTTTCAATTTTAAAAGTAAATAATAATTATAATTTTAAAACTTTAATACTTTCTTTAATATTTCTCTCTCCTTTATCTCGCCACCCCTTTATTTTACCACAACTATTCGTATCACAAACCCAATTGTATCATAATTTGTTAAATAATTCTTTATTTAATGTAAGATTTGTATAATTTTTAGAAAATAAAAAAAAAAGGTTGTATAGTAGGGATTTTTCTTAATTAAAAAATTATTTATCTAATTTGTAATGCAGATACAATCGTTATTAAGCTATGTTTAAATGAAATTACTATAATTGTCATGAAATACCTTTATTTAGGTGTAATATTAAAATAATTTAATTTAATTATCAAACTTTAATTTCAAAACTTATTCCGCAACTTTAGAATAATTTTTTTTTAAAAAAAAAAATGTAAAATAGATTAGCTATAAATATAAATGAATCTTTATAATAATATAATTAATTAACTTACCCACAACCTGATGCAGCCTGGGGATTATCAGAAACTTGAAATTGTGATCCAATTAATTCTTCTGTATAATCTATTTTTGATCCTTTAATCAAACCTAAAGAAATTTCATCTATAACTACTTTAACCCCATCATTCTCAAATACACTAAAAAAAAAAAGAATAAATTAATATTTTTTTTTTTTTTTTTTTTTTGTATACATAAATTACTTACACATCATCCTCTTTAATAGAATTTGAATCAATCAAATCATAAAAATATTGAAACCCATGACATCCTCCTGAATCAACTGCTACCCTTAGTGCGTTATTAAAAATTTTTTCTTGACCTGATATATATTTAAGCTGCTGCAAGAACGAAATAAAAAAAAATGCTTTATAATATTAAACAATATATAATAAATAATAAAATGATTGTTTAATCAAAGTAATTACCGTTACAGCTCGATTTGTAATTTCAATACACATATCATTTCCTTCTTCATCTTTCTGTGGGTTTTTTATTACAGTTGTAGCATATCGTCTTGATAATGAAAAAGAAAAAAAGTTATTTATTTGCGGTGTTTTAGGTATAGTTATTATTTTTGAAGGAGATAATTGAGTTATAATACTTTTACTTATTACTGAACTATGAAAAGATCTTCTTAAAAAAAAAAGATTCTGGTGTTTTGTGTATCTAAAAAACATGGTGTGTGCCTTAAATAATGAAAACATTTTGTAAAAGAAATAGAATCGTGTAAAAGAAAATTTATGCGGATAATTGATTAGTCAGAAATCTACATATTTATAGATTATTAATGATTGACGCTGATTATCTCTGTTTTTAAAATGAATACAAAAATTGAGTGTTTCATCGGCTATTAAATATCTATAACTATTTGACTGAAGCTTCGAACCAACAGTAATTTTTTAATATAATCAAACTGTATTTTATTGCTTTGCTTTCTTAACTGATCAAAACACGTATTACTTATTTTATTTGAATGTTTGGTTAATCGGACACAATACAGATTATTTTCCTTTTGACATTTGTTGGAATTGTTCTTTGTTAATGTGAGAGTAATATACTATCCTATTATAAAGAGTTTTGACGCGTACCGAATAGAATGTATAAGGGCCAACTTCAATGATGGTAGTACCAGGTTGCACGCATGCGTCGAACATATTTCTCTGAAATGATTATTAAATCTATCGTAAAGATTTGTAAAGGTCAAAATGGAAAATATTAACAATCTTTATAAATAACTATGCTATCATAGCATCCGCAGGTTGAGAGTTTATACAATTTTTATGCTCATTCAACTGTTCTTGAGAAACTTTTTATGAGCATAGAAAGGTCATTAATAATCATTTCATCACTGGCTTGAAATAATAGTCAAAAAAAGTTAAGTCGTACTCAACTGTTTACGAATTGTTCGACATTCCCTTCAGGAATTTTAATACATACCGAATAATTTTAGAATTTCTTTATTTACACCTTCGCTCATTGATTACTCGAATGGATCATCAGTAAGTTCGTCAGTCATGAATTCACAAAGATACTCTTCAGTGATATGGGTTTTTCGTAGGTCAAGAATTCAGAAATATTCTGGAAAAAACTCTTACTTTTTGCCCGAAGGTATTCATTCTCATGCGAACGTTATAAATACATAGATCGAAAGACCTTTTTGTAAAAAGAAAAAATCGGTTATTGGATTAAAATGATACAAAGTAGACATTTATACATAATTTTCCTGTCCCTGTTTTTTATGATATTCTGAAATAACTCCACCATCATACATACCTGCAAAAATTTTAATGTATTGGTTTTTGGAGGTCTCTTCTTCAGAAGTTCTTTCTTTGGATAAATTAGCAATTACTTCATTTTGTTGTTGCTACCGTGCTTCCATGAACGGCGTAGAGGTCTCTGAGTAATATTAGAAAATATTTCGGATCCATCTGACATTTTAATGCGTACTTTATAATTACTTGTAACATTTGGTTCAACAATGATTTGTCAACCTTTGGAAATACATTCTTGAATCGAATGAACTCGTGATTTCATTAGAGCATTCATTTTAAATGCGAAAGCAGCCTAAGTTTTTGATTGTATATTAAATACACTATCCTTTCCAGTTTGTACAATTATGATTACAATAGATTATTGCATATAATGAAAGCTAACTAAATAAAAAGTATCAGTCTCAATTTAAATAAGGTCTAAGGGTATTAGATAAAATTATGAAATTTATAAATTCAACTGTTTGTTACAAAAGGGTAAATACATCTTAATTGAATGCTAATAGATTTTGCAATCATTTTTGATACAATCATGGAAACTTATTTGCTTTCTAGATATAGAAACTTAAATGATAGAATCAGAAAAAAACAATAATTAAATATTAAGAAAATTTGATTGGTTATGGTTTTGACATATTACGATAATTTTTTTTTTAATTTAAAAAGATTGACTTACTTATTTACTCGTTAATTACGGTAAATTATCCGAATTCTTCATTTGGAAAATGGCAGAATTATTTATTTGTATGACTATGCTGCGCTTTCGTATAGAATACATCACTACGATAATCTAGTCTTTATTTGTAAAATATGCTCGGCAACGTGCGTCATTTTATATGTCATTCATATGTTCACTACAATCCTATATACCAAGATTGTTATTAAATGGGGATAAACGAATCATAAAAATCAATAACTTGCGTCCGAAAAAAATTTTTTCATATTCATTTCACCTTATCTGATCAATCTGATAATCAGAGTATATCTTTTCTCGGTTTATTGAGTATTCCTTTCCGCTTTCATTTTTTTTTTTTTTTTTTTGACGCGAAGCATTCCCCCAGGAATAAAAGCAGAAAGCTTAAAAATTTACATTTGTAAAAAAAAAATCACAAAATTTTCGTAAATCTCTATAAGTCGCACGGTTATCTTTTTATTATAATTATATTTTTTTGTGGGTTTCTTTCTATACCTTTGGGCATCAAACCCGTTCTTTTCTAGCACTTTTCCCCATCAGGCGGAGAGGTGTCAGCACTGTCATCACGGAGCTACAAAAGCAAGTCGTTAAGTTAATTATCTTCCGGGGTCACCAGGTAAATATATGTTATCTATGCGTTTAAATTCTCAAAATTCTCAGTAATTCTACATAATGCTAAAAAATTTGGTAATTTATGTACAAACTAAAATGTTATCTTATTTATAGCGATCTCCTCCCTGGCAGGTAGCGTGAAAGGATCGTTGATCGGTAGTATGAAGGGGCCTACGAATCAGCTTAATATTAAAGACAAGTCTACACCACCTATTAGCATGTTATCGGTTGAAGAAGTCTTGAAATCTCAAATATTGTCAAACAATTATGAGACTGAAAATAATGATGCTTTTTTTGTCGCAGACCTTGGCGAAATTTATCGTCAACATCTTCGCTGGAAAACTTATTTACCACGAGTTGAGCCGTTTTATGGTAAATTAAAATGAATAAATTGTAATGTCAGATTTTATTATATTTTTAACTTTAAGTAATATTTTTATTCACATTTCCTAATTTTGCATCGAGTAGCAGTCAAATGCAACGGAGATCCTATGTTGCTCAGACTGTTAGCTGCCCTAGGAACAGGATTTGATTGTGCTAGCAAAAATGAGATTCAAACTGTTCTTGACATGGGTGTCAGTCCGTCTAACATTATCTATGCTAATCCATGTAAACAGGCGTCGTTTATACGATTCGCTTCTGAACATGATGTCAAAATGATAACTTTTGATAATGCAGATGAACTACATAAGATCAAACGTTTATTCCCTAAGGCTCAACTGGTCATTCGCATTCTTGCTGATGATTCTAAAGCTCTGATAAAGTTGGGAGCTAAATTTGGTGCTTCTTTAAATGATACGGGCTTTCTTCTAAAGACTGCTCTCGAGCTAGGTTTAAACGTTATCGGAGTTAGGTAAATATCTGCGAATAATAGTATACTATGATGATTGGCTGAAAAACTGCGCAGTATTTTAGAATTTGCGGTTGTACAACTTTATACACTGGCCAACCATATATTAAAATTTTGCGGCTATACTATTATAGGTTATATTATTACAATACGAGTTAGTTGTGCTATTGAAACACAACGATGCAACGTTGTGACGCATGTTGCAACATTACACTGATACAACCACAAGCTTATGTTTTTCAGACCAAATATAATTTATTTATACAATATATTTAAAAATTAATCCAATACTTTTTTCCTTTTTGTTATAGCTTTCATGTTGGTAGTGGTTGTTATGACGAAAACTCTTATATTGATGCTATTCGTAGGGCTAGATTTGTATTCAATCAAGCATCAGAAATGGGATTCGATTTTCATTTACTTGATGTTGGAGGGGGATTTTCTTTCTCGCACAAAAGTGATGAAGGAATCACTTTTGAAAAAATAGCGGCTGTACTTGGACCTGCTATTGATAAGCACTTTCCTCCCAATATTCGCGTTATTGCTGAACCTGGACGTTATTATGCGGCTCCAGCATTCACTATTGCTACTCATGTTATTGCTAAAAGAACAGTTTGTCGAGATGGTAATGAAGAGTATGTGCCAAGTATGAATGTTGACCAAAGTAATGTGTTAGCAACTAAGGATGATCATCCGACATTTATGTGTAAGAATAATTATGGTGATATTTTTTTTTTTATTTTCGGTGGAGATTCTAATGAATTTTTTTTTTTTTAAATAGATTATATTAATGATGGCTTATACGGCTCTTTCAATTGCATCCTCTATGATCATCAACTTGTTACTCCTAAAGTTCTAACGAAAGGAGGAAGCTTTTTGTTTGGCGAAATCTTGGACGAGCCCGAATATAACTGCTTTATTTGGGGTCCAACTTGCGACTCCATTGATTGCGTTACCAAAAATGGAAGCCTTCCTGAATTGTTTCTTGGTGACTGGTTGTATTTCGAAGATATGGGAGCTTATACCATTGCAGCTGCTACTAAGTTCAATGGATTTAAGCAAACCCAAGTCATTTATACTACCACTGATCCTCATGTTTTTGATTATCTCTATGATGTTACATGATAATAATTTATAGATAATTATAAATATTACAAAATGGATTTATCAAAATATTTATTTTATTAAGCAAGCAATTAATATTTTTGCTTTTACAAAAAAAAAATATAGAGTATAATTTTTAAATAAATTCTTCAAAAAGGTTAGAAGAAATATTATATTAAACTAACTTTTATTTATATTTTCTGATCATAGATGATAAAGGCATATCGGCAGATTTGCGTAATCACATGTCATTTGACTATAATAAATTTATTATAGAAATGGTTCTCTAATTAATTTACTATGTTCGGCTGACGTGTGATTACGCAAATATGCTGATATGCATAAATATTTACTACTTTTACAAAGCATTTATGTTTCTAGAGTGTTAATCTTGGCAGACATAAATCATTTGTCAATACCATTGATATATAAAAGCAACTTATTGTAACTGTGACAGGTATTAATTTAAAAAAACAAAATATGAATTTATAGTACCTAAATACAAAAAAACCATTTATTAATTAATACACAGTTCCATGATCATTGATTTTTTATTGATTACAAAATTTTTTTAATAAGTGTACTAGCAAATACCACTGGTAAATTATCATTCTAAATCTTGAACATGATAGACCTCAGCCAATTTTAAAACATTCTCCCGTGTCACTTTACTGACACCATTTTGAGTGTCCTTGAATGATTCGGTTAAAGCTTTGAACAATACTTCCAAAACTTTAAATTATTATTTTTTTTTTTAAACAAATTTTAAAATCAATAAATAATAAAAATCATGGATAACAAGTGGGGAAGCATTAATATAATAAAATTTTATTACCTTTTTTATCCTCTTTTCCAAGAAGGCCTATTACTAAATTAGATCTCTTAACACAGCTTAAATTATAAAGAACGTTATAAATATCTTCGACCGTATCATGCCTAAAAATAAAAATAGATCAAATTCATACCAACATGCAACATAATATTTGGTTGTTCAAGAAAATAGTAATACATACAACAAATAGAAATCTTTCAGAATAACCAAAATTCGAGATATATAATCAGCATCAAGAAGATTAGACAAAAGATTTGAATAAGAAGAAGGTGGGATAACCTAAAGGTACTTTGTGTTAATAATTATCAATGATTAATTTTGATTTTTATATTAAGTAGCTTAACCTTTATATAATGATATAAATCCTCGTCACTTCGTTGAATTCCCCAATCACGCTCAAATTCAATTACATTTATTGGAGCCTTAGGAGCGGACTTTTCTGAGAGAACTATTGGATTTTTGATTGGTATATTCTAAAAAATGGTTTAATTATTAGACAATTAGTGGACAATTAGTGGAATATTAGTTGATAGTAAGCATGTATCATAGTATCATAATTCCGCACCTCGTTGTCTTTCTTTGTATCAGTTTTCTCTATCTCGTCCTCATCGAAGTTAACTTCTTCAATAGACAATCGACGTCGAGGAGCAGGAACCTCAATAGTTTGAGCTGTATCTTTTTTCGTTGGGGTGGCCTAATATAATATAACTGAATAGTTTAGTTTAATCATACAATAAAATAATATTGATATTCTTTTTTATCATTAACAAGTTTATTATTACCAATTCGATAGCTTTTAATACTTTATCTAATTCTTCTTTTACTGCCTTATCGTTAGGCTCTAAACGTAATGCAACCTGAAGATCTAAAATTAATCAATGACTACAAATTAATCATTAAAGATCAAGATCATATATAAAATAATAAATATGTATTTACCATTTTTGGCTTCTTCTAATTTACCCAACTCTCTCCTCGCAATACCTCTTCTCCAAAGAGCTTTAGGATTATCTGGATGTAATCTTAACCCGCTAGTACAATCACTTTCTGCATTTTCCCATCTAAATTTAATAAAAAAATTATTTTGACTGTAGACTATTAGCAATATAATTAAAGTAAATCCACTCACTTCTTCAGCTTCAGATAAGCCATTGCCCGATTGATGACATAAACCGCCTCTTTAGGATCCAATTCCATAGCTTTACCATAATGAACAATCGCCATCGTATAGTTTCCATTTTTAAAGAACGCGTTCCCCTAAAATCATAAATACATTTCCACAGATTAAAAGTCGGGACGAAAGATAATGTTTGAGAATCTTGTTCTTAATATCAAACATGTCCTAATTAAAGCGTCAAAACTAAACACTTTTAAGACAAAAGTGATAATGTGGGTTCCCCCACCGTCTCTTTCTCCTGAAAAGCCTGTTCCAATCTAACAGTCTTCTTTCCTTTACGATCTGGTTGACGTTGTTTCGACATCGATGTAGGTTTATTAAATGGTGTTGAAGTGATCGGTGCGGGTTTTGTCTGTTGTTGATCTTTATCAGATTTCACAACCGATTTAGCTTTAATAGGAATTTCTTCGTCCGATTCCTCTAAAGCTTTATCCTGTTGATCCAATTGTACATATGGTTAAAATGAATTATTAAAAGCTTATCAAACTTAAAACTGATTAAAGATCATATTATACTTACAACATCAAACTTATCCCAAGATTTATAATCAAAAGCTTTTATTCTTTTAGATTTCTCTTTACTAGTATCCTTTGTTTCAGACTTAGTTACTTTTGAATTCTTCTCGGGTAACACGGGTACTATTGTAGGTTTTTTTGCTGCGCCAAACAATATTTCACCAGCAGGTCTGATTGAAGGATAAGTCTTTTTTTTTTATAAAGTATTTAATTTATTTATAAATTTTGTTTTCAAAGAAAAAGAAAAGGAAAAAGAAAGAAATTAAAATAAACATTAGAAATACTTGGAGTCAATGTAATTATAACATTTACAATTTTATAATAGGGTTTATTTACTATAACTCACCGATGTTGTTAAAGAATCGTCTTTAGAAAGGTTTTTTTCTTGTTCTTTTATTTTCTTTTCCCACTCGTATAGATTTTTAACGTACTGTTGATATTCCTCAGAAGTTTCTTTTTTTTGTTTCTGAGAGGCCATTTATAATGACTCATGTTTATCATAATTTTTTTTTTTAATATGTCTTATTTGGTTCGAAACACAGACACTCACTTGACTTTGTGACGTAATTTCCGCCTTTATCATACAAACATCATATAATAATATAATTACTAATACTTTCTTCTAGAAGTTAAGCCAACTTCCATTCTAATTTCTTTTTTTTAAAAAAAGAATATCATAAAACTATTTACTTGTTTTTAAAAAAAAGATTATCCATTTTCTCATTGATATTTAAAATGTATATACAATATATATATATATGTATTTTTAGTTACACTTTTAAAAAATGAATTATTAAGATTCCTTTTATATATTCTTTCAAATATTTTCTTATCTTCCATCATTCTTTTTTTTCCTTTCTTTGTTTTATATTACGTAAAAAATCATAATAAATGTTGTACCGATCTATATGAATGAATTACGTTTCATTATTATTTTTTTTCGCTTTATGAACAATATTATTTTTTTAAATTTCAATACTTTTTTTTCCATTTTGATCCGGTTCTTTTTTTTTTTTTTCATGTGGTTCATATACACCATCATATATATTTCATATAAAAAAAATTCTTCCATTTGATATGATATACTTAAATAAAATAAATACAATTTCTCTCTCATATTTTCTATAATGATTTTAAACCCGATAATGAATTTTGACCTAACTTTCGTCTCTCCTAATTCTTGGACTATATCCTCTTGGACCTCTTGGGATACCTCTTGAACGTATGCCTCTACCACCTCTCATACCTCTCATAGAAAAACCTCTTCCTCTATAACCTACATCAGCTCTTAAATTTCTTTCTCTTCGACCTAATTCACCATATGGAACACTTCTCCATTCTCTAACATCTCTCCCTCTAATTCCCCAATATTCACTTCTACCACCTCTTCCTCCTCTTAGACCAACTTCCTCTCTTAAACTCCTACCTCTCATACTATATTCTCTCCAACTATCCCTTGAACTCCGTGTAATTCTTGACGCACCTCTCATACCACCTCTAACTACTCTTTCAGGTGGTCCTGCATATCTTCGAGGTCTAAGTATTCTTTCTCTTTCATATCTATCATAACCATTAATAGGTCTAACAGGTGGTCTCATTGGTCTCATTGGTTCTTCCGAAGGAGAATAAATATAACTTTTTGGTATTTTCTTATTGTACATAATTTTTTTTTCCGACAATTTGATATTTTTTAAAAAAAAAAATATATATCAAATTTATTTGAATTTTATCAGTGATTTTTTATGTGAAAGTTTTTTTGGGTCCCGATTTCTGGTGGCTAAGGATTTCTTCTATTTTTATAGCTTAGCTGAACAAAATCATTACACTAAAACTGATGAAATTTCCGAAACTCCGGTGTAACATCACTTACCTTATCCAGGTTTGGCTGTAATTTCTCATTAATCATCACCAACACATTATCCGAAAACAAAGCAAAAGTAACCTAAAAAAATCATTTTTTATATATATATTAATTAATTTATTTTTTTCTTACAAATTTTTTTTTTTAATTCATTAATTTCTCCTTATATATATATAATGTTTCTTTTTCATAACTATACATTTTTAACAATCATAATAATTATATAATTATATATACTAAAGCAAAAAAAAAAGAAAGAAAGAAATAGAAGAGATTTGCTGTGTTAACTAGATTCAAATTTTTTTTTGGTTTTTGATTATTTTGTTTTAATGAATTGTTAATGAATATCTGAAATATCTACAATTTTTTTTTTTTTTTTGATTAAACTAGTGCAAGTTAGCTGGTCATGAATCCTCTACCACGTTTCTCTCGAATCATTTCTAAAACATGTGACATACCCTTTCGACTCTATGGAAAAGAATCAATAAAAGAAATCTCATAAATTTCCATAATCATAAAATTGTATTTAAAAAAAAAAAATGAAATGAAACAAATCATACCTTCATAGTGTTATCAGTAAATTTTTTAATCCCAAGAAGTTCAACCCGATCCGTCAATCCCCATCCAAAGTTGCTAATAATTTTGGCTTCGGTTTTAACTTGAGTATATTCACGATTATTAGGATCTACTCGATATGTTTGCCATTCTTCAACTTGCATCGCTCTAGCGTGAGTTATATTTTTTGTCAGAGTAATCATCGTTTTATTCTTGGGATTAACCATAGACTCTTCAATAATGCATGCTTCAGAATTCTTAATTAGCTATATAGGAAGGAATAAAATGAATCCTTAGTTACGTTCTAAAAAAACGCAAATTTCATTAACTCATAACATATAACAATAATATTATTTTTAGAAAAATATCATAATCTAACAAGAAAAAATCTTTCTTGATCAATCATCAATCTAAAGAATCTATAAAGGAACTCACCCCTCTTCCCCACTTTGGTATAACGCCACGTTTCAATATCAATCTTGTTGTTCTTAATACACCCGTATTAGGATCAATGTACCTATCAATCACGTCAACGCTTTCAACGTGCGAAGCAAAAGGATTTGGGTAGCGTAACCAAAAAGCTAATGTTACGCAATCCCAATTATATCTACCGATGAAAAAGAATTACTTATAATGTTAGAAAATGTTTTATTTTTATAATAAAAGAATGTTAATAAAAAAAATACTCACTCGTATTTGAATGTATGCTGAAAAAACTTTACCATTGTTGAGAATTAGAGTTGAGAATTATAGTTGTATAAAATTATTATTCCTTATAATACTTTAATAAATGTTTTAATAAAAAATTTTTTCAAAAAACTGTAAATGAGAGATTTCAAGAGTTATATAAAAAAAAATTTCCGTTTTAAATAACTAAAAGTTTTATATTTATTTCTGAAATTTAATATTTCCAATATAATTAAGTCACGAGAGAAAAAAAAATTTTTACTAATTAGATGTTAAATTTCATGGAGTTAGATCAGATGACGTTATCAATTTTATTTTTTTTATTTACAAAAAACGAGAAAGAAAGAAAAGATTACATCTTACAATGGAAAAAAAAAAAAAAAAAAAAAATTTTTTTGGACTATCAGATAATTTAACATCACAAACAACTGTTGATCAAATAAAATATTTGTATCATTTTCCGATAAGATAATGCTGTACAATGAAGATATTGAACCTTATAACCTTATTCAAGTTATGACTATGTTCCCCACAATATTTATGCTTTATACCTAAGAAACTTTATATATTATTTATCATTTTTTTTTTTTTTTTACCACAGTGAGAAAAATTTAGATTACTTAATCAAAACAACGTCACAAAGTTTATATCATATATCATATAAAAGTACCTGAAAACCCAATTTTCTCTTACCCTTTTTAAGTGCAGAAAATCTTTTTTCAAATCATGAAAAATTTATATATCATCTCCTTTCCTGACGTGCCTTATCATATAATTATCTTTTCTTTTTCTTAATTTGTTTCAGTTAAACAAGACAAAATTAATTGGCTCGATTTCCCGATATATTCTTGAATCTCTTGGATTATCCTGGATTAAACAATTATCGTAAGGGTCTTAATTACAATTTTTTTGATATGAGTTATTAAGCAGGTGAAAATAGCGTAAGATTTATGCTTTGGCTTCAATTAAAATTCTTTAGGTTTTATAGGGTATAGTAGGGTATAGCTATTGAGCCACTGGAAGCAACGCCGTAGATTAATAATTATATGGGCTGGCAAAATAACAATCGAAACTATACCGATATTCGATATACTGGTATATTATTTAGAAATTCGATACAACGACAAAATTCATAATTCTTTTACATACAGTATAGGCTGTAATCTGATTAATTCTATAATGCTTGCAAAAGAACAATTGAACTCACTATATAGATATTCGATATACCGATATATTATTTAGAAATTCGATATAACGATTAAAAATTTTACCTTCTCACTATATTGAGAGAATTGAGAGATCATATTGTATAATATCGATATAATTTTAATACACCGATATTTTAAAGATTTTTTCATGTGGATCTTGACATACTGTTACCGTATATCGAAATTCTACTGTAAGGTAGTTTTGACAGTAAAGTAGAAGATAGTACACGAACAAAATAATTACTGTATTTAACGTGTTTTTTATTAGTAAAAGTAAAAATGTATGTACTTTTTTAATAATGAGCCTGCACTATATGAAGACCTAATGATACGAAGACAATCGAGAGAAGCACCTTGCAATCCATAAAAATCGGACGGTTGCAGCTGATATTGTGCTGTTCTTTCGCAAGAATAAATATGATGATAAAATAAAATGGAAAGAAAAACCTTCTTCTAACCTTAATCCTAATTCATATAACCCTTATTAACCCTTATTCAATCTAATTCACCAGAATTCATAATTTTGTAGTAATGTAGTTTGTTCTGCTAAAATTACATCGCAATCCGTCTCTTCAGTTTGAATTCGTTTATCGAGAGAGATTTTTACTTTTTAATGCTAATCTATACATGGAGGCGTAATTACTCCATGTTATTTCGCCAATTCGGTATTATGACGGCGTAGTATTTCCATGTCGAAATGAATTACGCCTCCGTAATGCGTAATGCCGTAATGTCGAATAGTTGAATTGAATCCTGCAGACCTTGCTGATATATATATAATTAGTAAAATTGACATCAATTTGCATTATTTGACAATACGACAATACGACAATTCGATACTACATGCAATTTGACAACTCGACAATTCGATATTACGGCAATTTCGGCATTACGAAATTACGGCGGCATAATTCATTTTTAATATTACTGTGGCGTGATTATTTCGCCGCTGCATTTGCCTGATCCTATTACGCCCTCATATAATGATCTGATAAAGCTTTTAAGATTTTCGCCTACATTAATAGTTTTCTCTAGAAGATAGTAGAAATCGTCACCATTAATAGTTTTCTCTTGGATGGTAAAAATCGTCTACATTAATAGTTTTCTCTAGAAGATGGTAAAAATCATCACCGCTAAAATAACTCTACTTAAAAGTCTTATCGGTATTTTCCGTGAAAAACGTTCATAATAATTACATCATTTGATTGTTTATACCTCACAATTACGTAATTACTTCATCGACAAAATAAATCAATCTCGTCTACCGTTATATGGTTTAGATTTTAAACGGATTATCGGTAATCGTTTTGAATGCAATAATTCCCCCCTTTTAAATTTTATTGTCGGGTTCATTCACAAAAAAGGCACATAATCTAGAAAACTTTTGAAACAATACACAAATGTTTTAAAATAGTTGTTACATCCCATGTATCAAATCAACGTCTATAATAACAATGCAGAATCAGAACCGCTTAATACTTTTACGATGGTCCATAATTAGCTTTTTAAAAGTTTTAAAAATATTTTAAATACTTAAATAGTTACCATTCGTTAATTTATTATATGTATGATTAAATGAATGGTGCAAGCTTTTCTAAAATTATCTAATAAAGTTTTTGATTTGCAACGTTACAGTAATAATGACAATCCGGCACATGATTTCAAACATTGCATCGATCCGCATATCCATATACCATGACAATTCTACTACATCCCCTTTTTAAGTTGTTTTTCATTAAATAATAATTTATTATTACGCGAATGAAAAGAAATAAAATGTAATAAAATAATAATAAAATCATAAAATAAAATTCTCAGATTATATAACAATAATGATCCCTTTATAAATCCAAATATATTTTTGGAATTTTAAAAGAATTTTTTTGGTTTTATTTTTATTTTTATTTTATTTTATTTTTTTTTTATGAAAATAAAAATAAAAAAAGACTTCATAATATATATGATTTTCTGGTCAAAGAAAATTCTTTGTGTATCTTAAGAAGGTTACTTTTTTGAATAAATACATTTATGTATTAAACATTTTTGGCGTATCGGATCTCGGCTATTTCGGCTTATCACCGATGGTTTTTTAAGGAAATTTAATCATTTTTTTCTATGATTCAATAGAGTTAATTTCACCAATAATTAATCATTACATGTATTTTTTTGTTGGTCATTTTTCAAGTAAACCAAGGATCATTCTTTAAATCTTTTCTTTATTTATTGAAATTCACGTGATTCAATAAAAACTAACCGAAACATCCATAGTAGTGACCAGGATCGACAAAAGAAAGTTTAATTGGTTTATTTACTTTTTTATTTTGGGCATCACGCACACGTGTCTTTTTTTAGTTTTCTAATTTTCTAAAATAGTATTTATAGTACTTGCACGCAATACCACGTTCGTCAACTTAACAATAAGGACTTTCCAGGAATAAACACCCTCTAGGAGATACATAGTGAATACATAGTGAATACATAGTGGATACATGGTGGATACATAGTGGATATATAGTGTATACATAGTGGATAACATATTATAACGCGTAGACATAACAACTGCGGGATTATTTTTAATACATACGTAATATAATAATTTTTTACGCCAAAACAAAAAAAAAAAATTTTTTTTGTTGTTTCATATATCAAAAAGGGAATTACAGTAGTTACTACTATATAGATGGGGTTAAAAATTTATTAAGAATGCAGAGTAACAAGATAAAACAAAGAAAATTGAAATTTAAAAACAAAAAACATTGATCAAATGACTTTCTTTAATAAATTAATATTTTGCATATGTTTATTTATTTAGATCAAAGAGCGAATTAAATCTTTGAATATAAGATAATTTTGATCTTTTTTTTTATAATACAATTATTTCTTTTTTTTTTTTTTTTTTTTTTTTTTTTTTTTTTTTTTNTTTTTTTTTTTTTTTTTTTTTTTTTTTGAAGTTTTATTTTATTGCAGATTATCAAAAAAAAGCTTTCACCAATATAGAATCAAAATCCATGGAATTTCCAATTAAAGGAATTTTGATAAGATAAGATTATATTTTCAATCAGGAAAATCAAAGATAAGAAAAAAGAACTTGTTTTTAAGTAACGCCTTTTTACATAAATATACTTTTTAAAATGAAACAATTTTTTTTTTGCTTATTAATGTAACAGATAACATATACTTTATAAAATATAAAAAATACACAGTAACGAATTATTGAAATGGTGATGTCAAAATGAATAGGTCATATGCACGCACATTACATATTTACTAGAACTTACTATACATTATAATAAATTATATACCCCGTTGTGCTACATTACAACATTGGCCACATGACTTACCATGTAGGGCGTTATATATAAATTATAAATATATATTACATACTACCCAGTTTCATTACAAGTTGTTTATATTGTGTTCATCATAATCTTGACAGAAAAAAAAAATATTTTGTTACTCCACCACACATACTTTTTTTTAGTACCACTTTCTAACCCCACTACCCCAATTTTTATATATGATTTTTTTTTACATAAATAAGCTTCATTTTCCTTTTACTTGGTCGCTTAAAACATTTGAAATATCACTTTTTTTAGTCCACCTTTCCAACTTATCCTAATAAAAATCACACATCATAAAATAAAATTTTCCATATAAACTATGCCATCACATTACGTTTATGTTCCATTTCTAGTCTTATGTGCGCCACTCATTATTAGCGTTTTAGGAACTTTTACATTGTTCGCGATATTAACTTCTTCCTTGGCCTTATTTGTTATATCGATCCGTCTAGGATTTCTGGCCGTGGAATTTTCTGGTGGTGTCGTATTTGACTTTATAAAATGGGGTATAAATAAATTATCACTTGAAAGAGGTCCTCAAAAGAATACAAAGATTACTATTAAAGACACCATTCATAATAAACAAAGGAAACATATTCTAAAATCAACAAAAACAACGATTTATAATTCTAACGGATCTGGAAATAATTATGTTAGTAATGACGATTATTTTATGATGTCCATGATTAATAACAAGAGACCAAATGGAAGGAGGGCTAGAAGTGATTATATATAAGAAAAAAAAAAAAAGAGACAATTTTTTTTTTTTTATTATTAAATAATATTTTTATATAATATAATAACAAATGAAAAATTACATTTTTTTAAAAAAAAGCGGGTTCTTTGATTTTCGTTTTAAAACAGGGTTTTAAAAGTTATATAGCATTGCTTTTTTTTTTTTTAATATTTCACTTTGCAATTTTCCCTTTTTCCTTTATATATATATTTTTATATATATCAAGAATTTTTTTCCTTTTTTTCCTT